TACTCCATGATTGGTCTTACATATGTGGTATACAAGGGTTTTGAATGATTCCTTACACAGGTTCCTGAAGGCTGTTCTAATGTTAGCCAGCCTCGCATATACCGCAGACGTAATTCTCTTTATGTGGGCTTCAGGATTGAGGTTTGGTGTGACTCCTAGATCTTTCTCTCTGTCAGTTCCCTTTAGTACTTCATCTTCCATTCTTTATCCTGTGTCTGGCCTCCTGTTTCCACTGCCTAGATTCATTACGTGTATAATAATAAATAATAATAATAATAATAATAGTGTGTGTGTGTGTGTGTGTGTGCGCGCGCGCACTACTCCAGGAACATTGGTGCTAATCCCAGGATGCTGAAGGTGACTTTCCTCCCGCTGGGAAAACGTAAAACTATCATACGAAAACTTTACATAACTCTGTGTGTGATCCAGAAAATCACAGTGTATGTTGCGCAAACACTAATGATCAATCCGTAAGGTGATCTCTTACTGACGAATAAATACCTCTACGATCATCCTGTAAGGTGATCAATGTCTCATGATGATGATGGTTTAGGCTCAGCCACTGGGAACAAATAGTTGCAAGTAGCACGGGCTATGGTGAGCCCGTAGTGGACTTACCTGGCACAGGAGCGGGGCTGCACCTGTGACAGGTCATGAGTAAGCGATACAGAATGTTGGAATTATTCAAGTTGGTGAGAGAGACAGACAGACATGGGAAGATAGACACAAGAATCCTGTGGTCCTGGGTTCGATCCCAGGTGCCGGCGAGAGACAATGGGCAGTTTCTTTCACCCTATGCCCCTGTTACCTAGCAGTAAATTAGGTACCTGGGTGTTAGTCAGCTGTCACGGGTTGCTTCCTGGGGGTGGAGGCTTGGTCGAGGACCGGGCCGCGGGGACACTAAAGCCCCGAAATCATCTCAAGATAACCTCAAGATAACGTACAGTTAGAGACAAATGAAACACACACTTTCTACTTAGCACTCAATTCCATCTCTCCCTCCCTCCCTACACCAATGCTCCCGCCAGTTACCCGCACTTTAACCACCCTCGCACCAACAGTATGCAGCCAACAGTCCCCATTAGATCGTCTCCAGCACGTCCCAATGACTATCGGTTGATAATAATTGAAGCCGTTTACCCTTGATGCCCCGACTGGGTCTGAGACCCTAACACACACTTAAGCGTCACGGCTAAGCTTTAAGCTTGTCCTATTATCACCTCCACACACTGTGAACTGTTGTATCTATGGACCCAAGTCCCTGTTCTCTCACCTTTAAAATGTCGCATTTTGTACGATCAGTTAAAATGCAGATCAGTAAAAATACAAAAACAACGTAATGCGGACCTTTCTATGCATTGGACTCAAGGCGTTCAGTGGGTATCTCAGGGTCTTACGATTCTAGTTAAGCAAAACCTTACCTACCTTGCCTTGCGATGATTCCGAGGATCAATGTCCTTGCGGCCCGGAGTCTCTGACCAGGCCTAATGCGTGGTGTTCTAGTCAACTAGGCTGTTGGATGCAGCTCCTTGCACGCTCTCCAGGTGGGCAATTTCTCCAGAGGAGGAGGAGAAGTGATAGAAACAAGGAGTCATCATTAGAAGTCAGGAATGATCCTAAGGCATGACCCAGCCATTCTCACGGTCTCAGAAGCGTCAAATTGGAAGTAATTTGCCTCGCCGGAAGCCTGCGGCCTCTGCCAATCCACCAAACCAATCAACCGACACTCATTAGTCCAGGAAACGTTAATATTGTGGTGGATTACAATTCCCTTAAAGAATTGCATTTTTGACGTTGTAGTCGACAGAGACAAAATACCCTGGCGGTGGCAAGGTAAGGAACCTTCACGATGGAGGATTAGGATTTCCCTCTAATGCCGTTCACTGAATTGTACCTGGATGGGGTTCTGGGAGTTCTTCTACTCCCCGAGTCCGGCCCGAGGCCAGGCTTGAAGTGTGAGAGTTTGGTCCACCAGGCTGTTGCTTGGAGCGGCCCGCAGGTCTACACATATCCACCACATAACCACTATTCTGCATTTTCTTTGTGCACATGGATAAGAAGGGAAGGGTGAGACTAAGGCAAGCCTGAGGTAAGGAAGGTAAGCTACGGGGCTGAAGAAGGGTGGTGGGAACAAGTGCATGAGTGGGACAAACTCATTATCCCGTTCAGGACTGGTCATTGTGAGGCCAACTGCCTGGTAACAATGGCTGCCCTCCTGAGTACACACTGCTCCTGCCCTCCACCACCCTCCGTCCACCCGCCTGCCTTCCCTCCACCACCCCTCCCTCCACCTCCCTCCTAGTGTAGATGGAGTGCCGAAGAGACGAAAATAGAGGTGCAGCATGAGCGGGTGGGGAAGAAAAAAAGAGAGGGGCTGAAGGGAAAGTACGGAGGCGAGATATGAAAAAGGGGAAAAACAATATAAGTGGAAGGGAGAGGAGAGAAGAGAGAGAGAAGAGGAACAGAATGTACATGAACAAGGAACAGGAACAAGGAACCG